CCAACCTTGAAACTTGGAGAAGGTTCATGATAACTGATAAAACTGCTAGACGGACTGTTGTGTTTAACATTTAAATGTACCCTTCAGAGTTTTTCCTTTTATTTCTCGCCCGCTAGCAAAACAAATAGGCATGAGAGGTGTCCTATTACCTACTTATTTTATAGTGGAAAATATATAACAGGGGTGACATTAACAAATAATGAATTCAGACATCAGTGCCTCTTCCTGTTTTTTGGGGGGAAATAAATGTATTTGCTTTATAATGGTGCATAAACAACACAACTGACAGAATGTAATACCAAGGTCAGCATGCGGCATACCCAATGAAGAAGCTCCTCAGGAAGCTAGGTCCAATTTCAGACAGCAGTAATATTACAGATGCAATACTCACCATCAAGCATATCTGTGTATCATGTTTTTTTAAATGGACTGCCTGCATCAACAAATCAGTGGCAGATATGGCAGATAAGTTATTTATTGTTGTATAGAGGTTTTTCTGGGTCAGTAGCATTGAAAGTATTACTTTTAAATATGATGGATGATGATGCACTTCAGGGTATTTGGAAGGCTTGGACAAAACATGGACGGACAAGATAAAGAAAGAGCTATTGGGAAGGGAGCATTAAAATAGAGAAAGATAGCATCCTCTTTCTGAAGCAATAAGCTTTCAGTGTTGTTGGCATCAGGTCAACAAGCCATTTGCAAAGCAGTGATAGGAAATAGAGAGCAAAGAAAGCTAAACACATTTAGAATTGTAGGAGTTAAACATGGTGAGCTTAGTAACTACTGCAGACAATGTCATACATATTTTGTACAGCATTTCAGTGATACTGTTTGTGCACACATATATTTCCAATTCTATGAGTTATCCAGGGTCATGTTTAAGGGTCGGATTTGTGGGTGGTTGGTGCTTACAACTGACCTTTCATCATGACAGGAATAAACGCTAATAGCCATGTAAATGTTGACTTCTACTCCATGGGAGGCATTACACAGTAAGCAGGCGAGGTCATGGTATGTTTGCTGCTCCGCGCTTCCAGACATTCACACTTGCAGCTGTGAATACTAATGAGACGTGTTGCGTTGGTCAAAAGGCATTTTAATTGGCAGCAGAGCTGCACGTGCCCTCGCTTGCTGCTCCGCTCTCAGACCTCTGGCTTGGTTGGCAAGGAAACTAATGTGATATTGGCAGCAACTGAGTTTGAAGTCTCTTTACATTTTGTACAGAACCCTGACTCAATTAAAACATGTTCCAAACAGAACAACAAGAACAGACCGAAGCAGCTAAAACGCCCTCTTTTGAATGAAAACTTTTAGTTGTGGCGAAAAAACTAAAGGAATGTTATTTAATTTGTTCTCTTTTCGATTAAGGTGTAAACTCTTCATCGCTAAATTATTACATTATGTGCTTATGTAAGCAAGCAATTCCCTATTTAAACATTAGGCAGACGGGTTCATATTTCATATTTCTTGATAAATGCAATAACAACATTGCCTCTTCTTTTAAATCTGTTCTGGTCCACTAGCTTCTGATGGAAATATATGTTTCTTCTTCTGCGGCTAAAAGCTACACTATTTTCACAAGCTGACGGCTAACCCTAGCAACAAGTAGGAAATGTAGGTTTTGAATAGTAGCGGCTGGAAACAAGGCTGACAACAGCAGTAAAAGTAGAGAACTGAAATATACAACAACGCTGCGTAGCCTAAAACTACTTCCGATTGGGCGATGATCGTTTGCTTGTTTTCCACTTCAAGCGCCACCATTGACATAACAAGTAGATATTTTAAGCAGTTGTTTACATTGATCGAAAACCAACAAAACGCAAGTTATTATAGCCTTGTTTATTACAAGAAACTTTCTTTTTCCTTCTTCCATTTTTATAGAGATGACTACTGGGACAAACTCCCTAATGCAGACAGTGAGAGTCAATATTATCTATTTGCCCTTTTCACCATTGCTAGCTTGTAAAATGAGAATTGATAAGTCATTTTATCATCACAAATGTTCAGGCAGAGTGGTGTTTCCTTAGATATTCTGCATTTTGGACAGGTTTGAGAACTCATTACCTTCCTCCATCTGACGGCTCCACCTGGGGCAGCAGATTAGGAGGGATGTGAGAGGTGGAGGCAAGCAGAGACAGGGTCAGGGGCAGAGGATTGGCAAAATGACATAGCCCCACTGTCAAAGGTTTGTTAGTGTCTTTGTCATCCAGTGGCAAAGGAAGACCTTTGTGTCTGACTGAAGTCTAATGGGATGTTGACCCGGCCTTGACCCTGTCTGTCAAACAACATCAGGCTTGACAAAGGGAGTGAAAGAGGTTCCCACTGAGAGCAGCTTTTCCCTAGAAGAAAGGCAGAGGTGAGAGAGATGTTGACAGTAGACACTCGGGAGCCAATGACTTAAAAAAGGGAAGAATACTAAATGCAATCTTGGCTCTCCTCATACAAACAGAATAGCAAATGAGTGTTGGGAAATTGGATTCAATTCTACATTACCATGTTACATTGTTAGGATACATACAAAGTTATGTCTCGTGGTAAATAAGATAAAGATGAATTGCAGGATTAACATTTTCTTCCAGGCCTCATAAGAAATGAGTGTTGGATGTTGGACCCCGGTGGTGTCTCTCTTCTCCACACTGAGCAGAGAAATACAGCCTCATCTTGTATCTGCAAACTAGAAATGATGGTATCATGAATATTTATCCGCTGTCCTCTTTACTACGCTCCGGCAGCTCCTAGTGTGTCATTTATTTTGTGCAAATACATATCTGTCGGGGGCACCTCAATTTCGCAGAGGTGAATGAACCTGTAATCTGGTACTTCGTATTCTTCCGATTCTCACCAATTCTCTGGCAGTTTGGCATTAAACAAGTCGATCGATTTGGTCAGTAAACCATCCATGAGAAGGCTAGTGTCAATATAGGAGGAGGAGCATCTAAGGAAAAATCCAACTTTAAACAATCAAAAAACACTATTGGCGGTGCACTTTGCCTTCCATTTAGTTTTGTTTTTCATCAATACAAAACTTCAGGTCTGTTTTAATCCCTTGGAATTGAAAAAGCGTTACCTTCTTGGCTCAGAGTGTTAAAGTAATCATGAACCGTCAACATCAACATTTAGTGCAGGAGAAAAAGGGACTGACTATAACATCTACTTACAGTGGCCTTCATAGACCACAATGCAGTGCAGTCACATGCTTCATGAACTTTTTGTGCCCCTCATCATTGACCCAAAAAGGGTTACGGTGCTTGCCAGCGCGTGAAATCCAACCCATGATTCATTCTCGTTTTTTGAATCAGCTTTGTGCGTTTGGCATTTCACCTTGCTATATTTTTTCATAGCTGCGTCCGCCATTTCTCTAGCGATCTGGCATCCAGTGACTGCGTTATTGTTGAAGTATCTTTCCCAATATGTCAAGAACAAAGCAAAATTAAATGAAGTTATGAATGTAAATCATATATAGGGCAGGGCAGATAAAGACCACTTCTCATTGACGTTGCAACTTGGCTAATGTTACTTATATTATACAAATCCTATAATTCTCCAATTGCAATGCGTTCTGCATAAATGCACATTTCCATATATAGCAGGAATCTTTTCTCAAGTCAAATAAAATATTAAACGTAGATTGCATGTCCGTAACACGTATCAATGGAGTGAAAGTAATGTCAACATTTTATATAATTACAGCGCTTCTTCACACCATTTGTAAAACATCCTTCCTCTATCAGAAAAGACATCAAATATGGAACCTGTAAATCGTATGAAAACGTCACATTGATTTTTAAATTCTTTTTTTTTCTGACAAGGGTGAAGAGGGTTTCTTGGTCTCTATTAAACTCTCCTCACCAGTCACTTCCTCTCAATCAGTCATGGCACTGATTGAAGTGGATGGTTGTCATGGTGATTACTACTCATCTGCAGAGACCTCACAACTGCACTCGCATTTACATGTTTGCTTGAGTTACACACACACACACACCCACACACACACACACACACACACACACACACACACACACACACACACACACACACAACACACACACACACACACACACACACACAGACCCACACACACACACATACACATACACATACACACACACACACACACACACACACACACACACACACACAGACCCACACCCACACCACACACACATACACATACACATACACATACACATACACATACACATACACATACACATACACATACACATACACACACACACACACACACACACACACACACACACACACACACACACACACACACACACACACACTTCTTGAAAAAGCTCACCCTGCAGTTTAACCCAGTACATTATTAATAATGTGGGGCAAAGAGACGTTAGTTGAAAAATAAATGGTCTAATAGCTCGATGTGTTATTTTGTAGTATTTATTGAAGTCCTGTTAAAGTAGGGGCCAGAATTGGAAGGATCATTTTTGCTTTTTGACGAGGAAATGTTACTTTTACATGTTTGTCTTTATCTGATATGAGCTGCTGGAAATTCAACAGCTATAGGCTCCTCAGAAAGAGAGTTAGATAATGTGAGAATGAAAGTGCCTCTCTGCAGCGTTAACTTGAACTGTCACAGCCAGCCAAAATGAATGGCATTTTTAGCCTCACTTGCCCTAAAAAACATTAAAGAAGATACCCTTACCATTTGAAAGAAGAATGCAAATTGGGTCAAAAAAGGGACGAATACCAAAGAAAGACACATACATGTAGATGGGTAACGTTTGTTGTTGGAGTGATAATTGTGTGTAACATAAAACTCTTTAAACTTGAGATGCAAGAAATATATTGCAGCTCATCATTTGATAATAAATTGATGTACTTGGTTAAGAACATTTCTTCTGCATGGTAGTTAATTTGTTTCATCATTGTACAATAGGCAAGTTTATCTACATCAATGCTATCCCTGCAGTATGTATGAGAGTATATGAGTCATCACTTATCAGCCCTCTCTCTGTGTCTCCTCTCAGGTGTTCACCAGGTATGGGAAGTGCTACATGTTCAACGCTGAAGAGGAGGGGAAGACGCTCCGCACCACCATGAAGGGGGGGACAGGAAACGGACTGGAGATCATGCTGGACATCCAGCAGGACGAGTACCTGCCGGTGTGGGGGGACACAGGTGAAATCATCACATGCTCACCTCTCCTGCTTTATCTCTATCTTATATAATAAGGAGCCAGTCTAAAGAAAATGTGCACTTCTCTTCTTCCCTCTTCTCTTTTTTCCTTATCTTAAGCTGCCTTCAAATGCATCACATGTGGTCATATTTTCAACATGTAGTTTAAGTCGTGCAATTACTGTCACATAACATTTTTACACGGCCTCTCACTTTCCTGCCTTCTCTCTTTCTTTCCTGTAATGTTTAGTATTTTGGCCTGCAATAGAAATATATCTAAACTGAAAAGAACTAAATAAATTGACATCATTTTTTTATTGTGCCCCACACTAAGCTTTTGGACCACAATTATGTTTGTATTCACATAATTAGATTGAGCCATAATTAGCATAGAAATGATTCAGTGTCCTTCTGATAAAATCACTTCAGGGACATTTTTAAACCCAGAAACTCTTATTAACTATCTAAATCAAATAAAGCTACTGGAATGATTGAAGATGTGATTTTTATCAGCTATTTTATCAAATTGTTTTCTACAATATTATGCATATACAATGGGGGTAATCCTATTGTTGTTGCTATCGTTAAGACTTTATTTCTTATTGTTGTAGCTCTCTTGTGCTCTCCACTCTTTCATAGATTACATTACACCGAGACTAATACTCCAGGATTTGTCCACACAACCACTAAAAGGCCCATTTGTAAAAGCCTCTTTCGTCCACTTTAAGGAATTTGTGTAACACTAATGACCTGAAGCTTATTCTGCTGCTGTACTCACTCTGACTAAGACTTTGAAACAAAGCGCATTGTCAGTCGCTGCACATCCAGTTCTGAAGGGCTATGAGGATATTTTTCCTTAGAGAAGGAAGACTTCACAGTGGTCATAATGCATATCAAAACCCGTTCATGTCAAACACTGGCACCTTTTTGCTGATCTTTATTACAGAGTAGTTCTGCTACATTATCCTGCATACTGATGTGGGTATTTCGAGATTTCGTTAGTGGCTCAGACTGAGTGTTATAGAGAGGCTCGCTGCCTGAGTGATTCCAGCTCATTGAAGGTCCGGCTCACGTCTGGACCAGTGGAAGGGCAGATGGGGGAGATCCCAGAGCAGCTAGCCAGGCCTTGAGCAGCCCTGCAGATGGACATTATTTACTCAAGGCTTAACATGAAGAAGATTCATCATCAAACAGTCAGCATCCTATCAATCCTCCTCATGTTCTTCTATGGACAGCAGGTCCCTCAGGCCCCTATTCTGAACTTTTTGGGGTTTTATTTCTTTTTAAACAGACTGTAGACCAGCCACCACTCTGTCAGCATGTGGAGCTTGGTCTCACAGCAGGCTGCAGTTTGCAGTGCCCTTGTTTATCCCTGTGTGGTTTAATTATCCCAGATGAGCTGAGTCAGCTCAGCAGGAACCGCAGTGTCTCCACAACTGAGCCAGATCCCTGTGCTGTGAGAGACCTTCTCGAACAATTTCTTCCCCCCCCCCCCCCCCCCCCCCATCTCTGAGGCTCTATAAGCACACAACTCTTTCCAGAGAGCTGCAGGCTGGCCATGACCCTCCTCCTCACTTTATCATGACGGACAAACATAAAATAATATATGTTTCATGATGTGAAAAATATAACTTTGAGTGGTGGGAGGAAAACAGGTGCCTGTTGCCTGGATACACAGCTTTGTCCTCACTGTTTTTGAAGACCAACCTGCCTATTTATGGAAATAGTAAGTCGATTGAATGTGTATTTTGTTTGGATAGTATTTTTCTCAAGTAAACCTTATTTAATCACAATGAAGGTGAAGTAATCAGGCAACAAGTTAGTGTTCTTTATTATTTTTGTATGCAAGCTGAGCATTGTGGAAGTGTATCCTTTGGTTCAGATGTCTGCTGCATCTATGTAAATACATATTACAGTACCAATATTTTTCGTTCTAATTTCAGAAATGCTTAGAATAGTAAAGTAACTCTGCATGAATGATTTATTAGGAAAAAATATATTTATCTTATATAAACTTTTTAATCCGTGAACCTGAGCACTCAGACTCAAAAATACATTTTGGAGAAGAAGTTTCAAGTCCTGCAACACATTGACATTTTTCTAAAAGTCATCTGAAGTTTCAGCGGCGGGCAGGCCTCTTCCGTCTCAGATTCGTCAAGCAGTCTTGATCAAAGTAGTGTGTTTACAGCACGCTTCCCTACAGCAGCAGAGCAGCGATTTGGCACTGGGGAGAAAAGCTCTTCAAACACATTATAGCCTGTGAGAATATGAAGACATTCAACTTCAATTTGTTCTTATATCAGACACTGACATATTTAGAAGGAAAAAATCGAACACATCTGTTTTAGATCAAATCGTTGGAAAGTTACTTATATACCTTCGGAGTTCCTAAGCAACCAGTGACATTGTGCTCACTGTAACGACATCATTGATGGAGAGATGCAGACTCAGAAAGAAGAGTTCTGTTTTCAGCTCCTCTTAGATGAAGAATTATAAATATGCATTGTACATATTTGTTCTTAATGTGTCCCTTTTGCTCACTTTGTAAATCATTATCAGTCTGAGCTTTATGGTTGATTCTGTTTGCGTTTTTTCCATCAATGTGCTATCCATCATCTCAGATCTTGGCGCTGATTTTGTATGGCAAACAGACAAGTAAAGCCCAACAAGGATTTGAGTGTAAGGGCAACAATCCACCGTGCCTCTGCACTCTTTGTGTCTTCTGTTGATTGAATCAAAGCAAAGGTGAAAAAGCACTCTGAGAAGCACCTAAAAGGAGCCGAAGGATATTTGTTCAACAACAGGTTTAACAAACAAGTGCACAGTTGAAGTGGAAAGTCCTTGATCCTTTTATCTCTTCTATTTGTGTTACTTCCCTCTGAGGTGTTAGGTCAGTGGGATGTTTGTGTCTGTGTGTATGTGTGTTTCCAACTATTGCTTTTAGTTCTTGGAAACATCAAGCTGTTCTCATTTCAGTGCACCATGGAGTTTCTTACATTAGTGAGGAGAAATGGCAGAAATAACTAAATGTTTAATATTTAAGCAGCAGCCTGAAATCTTTAATTAGTGCAGGTCTTGGTGAACTTTAACTGCACTATCACTGCCTCTGTAGATCTCAATTGCTGCTGTTGGAGCACACTTTTCTTTCACTTCCAGTCTGTAAAATTATCTCTAAAGCAGCACAGAATAAATGTGTACCCAACAGAAAATAGAATAATACTACTTTGTTCAAAAAGTGCAAATACCAGATCTTAGTATGAAATGGTTTCCCTCTTGCACCCTCAATTAAACGGAGATTGTTTTTCATTAAAATACGCCTGATATGGAAACGGAGAGACAAAATTGACAAATATAAATCAATACAATGTAAAGTGGAGGTTCAGCAAATCAAGCAAATCAAGGGAATGACTAAACAGCAGAGAATCAACACAGATGAGACGTTCTTACAACATAAAGGTTTAAGACTGATTTACATTACCCTCACAATTGGAAAACTCATGGGCTGATGGCGATAATTTGATATGATAGAAAGCAAAACAAGCTATCAAAATTGATAACTTTTTTTGTTATATAATGTTTTGTTAAAGAAAAAAACGTATTTGTTATTATGTTAGCAAATGCTAACCTTAACTGATGAGCACTAAACACAAATCTGAATTTCATTCATTTTGCAGGTATTTGATCACAAACCAAAGTATTTGATAAATAAAAATGTCAAGCTGATGATTGGGCTTGAGCAAAAAAGTTAATAGGATACTTCATCTGGGGAAAATGATCAACAGGATCTCGAAGAAATAACCTGCCTGTAAACCGGAGGAGAACTCTGGCATTTATCCTCCTACTTGAAAGACTGCGGAGGGATAGGGTCTGCAAAATTAGTTTATTTTGGGGATGGGCCGGATGCTCTGACCGGTCCACTTCCTGCCTGGCGCCTCTGCAACGCCTCGCGTCGCGTCGAAAAATAGACTTGAATCCTATTTTGAGCGGAACCCAGCGCCGAGACGCTTCTGGGGCGCTTCTGAGCCGTAACGCGGCGTGTCTGGTGGAATAGCACCCATTGACTAGAGTGGCCGCGATCTTTGCGAGCTTAACGGGAAGAAACTCAGCTAACTGACGATACGAACCATTTTTACCAAAACAAAACACAAGTCTCACAAGAAGCGTCTAAATGAGCCCTGAGCGAAGAAATGCTATCTCACTTAGCACAGAACTCACGGCTTAAATACCCGTATTACTTATCGTATCTGCACAAACAAGATATCGATTAGCAAACTGGGATTTCACAGATTCCAGAAATATTAGTATAATCACTGAGCGATCCGAACTCGCGATAGAGGCAGCGAAAACAGACATCACAAGACGTAGCTTCACGGAGGAAGCTTCTTACCTTAGCTGTTGTTCTGATCAAAAGTCGTGTTCAATGGCATTAAAATGATAAAAACGCTGCTGAAGGTTAATCCAATGGTTAATCCAATGTGTCTGTGTCACTTTGAAATGATTACTGATAATCCATCTTCATATGTACTAGTTTGAGCCTAGGTTTCAGTTTTCAAAGCATAACCTAGCTTTCGATATGCTGCGCGTAAATCTCTCTCCTCAATGGTAACGTTTGTGTGTGTATGTGGAACTTCCCCTTCGATTCTATTGGCTCTAACGGTTCAAAAGAGGTGTCAATCACCAAAATCGACCAATGGGTTCCAGAGAAACGGCAAATCCACCCAAATCCACCCAAATGACCCCAAAGGTGGGGTTATTTTTGCTAAACCTCTCTAAATAGGTCAAATATCACTTGTTTTGCATCAATCTTGATACAGGGTACTTATTATATGTTATAGTTTGGATTCCTAAAGCTTTTAGTCTACTATCCCATCATTCAAGGGTGGTTTTCACTATAAATAATGTCAGTGGCGAGCCGTGACTTTTATACCTAGGCCCTCTGACCCCCCCCTTCCCTCGAAAAAAAAGAAGAGTTATTACATCACAGCGTATACCACAGCGGAATA